GCGAGCAGTTAGGAGCCAGCGGTCCCGGATTGTGAGAGGGACGTCCCAGATTGGAGAGGGTGCAGGCCGGGCTGAGGGACACCCCCCCCCAGCACAAATTTCGTGCACCGGGCCTCTAGTACATATATATATATTTTTTAAAAACGCACTCCCGTGCCCAGGTGTTCGGCGAGGGGATTGCGGCCTTTTGTCAACGGTAGAATCCCCTCAAGAGGAATGAACTCTGAAATAATTTAAAGGCCCCAAAGTCAATGACACGTTCGATGCAAAAGAAACATCTTAAATGGAGGGGGAAACCCGGCCAAGTGAATCGCGTAATTCTATTCTCTACCCATTTTGTAAAAAAAAAACCACCCCTGGCCAGTGTTGCTAAGTGGTTAGAGCCATCTTAAATGGAGGGGGAAACCCGGCCAAGTGAATCGTGTAATTCTATTCTCTACCCGTTTTGTAAAAAAAAACAAAAAACCACCCCTGGCAAGTGTGGTTCAGTGGTTAGCGTGCCGGCCCTCGGACCGAAGGGTCCTGGGTTCGATTCCCGGTCAAGGGCGCGTACCTTGGCTGCGGGCTTGACCCCCAGCTCCGGTTGGGGTGTGAGAGGGAGGCACCCCAGCGTCGGGGTGGGAGGGGGGCGAGGTCTCAGCTGCCCGGACCCTCGAGCTTGTCTTTGGACACAGACCCCCCTGACCTGTGAGAATAAGGGGCTCTCTGTGCTTTGTGACCCCCCAGACCACGGACGAGCGGGCGCGGCTGGGACCCCAGCAAGCACTTCTACTCCTCCAGGGGTGAGCACCCCCTCCTGCACCCCACCCTCCCCCCGGGGACCCCAGCAAGCACTTCCACTCCTCCAGGGGTGAGCACCCCCTCCTGCACCCCACCCTCCTTCTAGGGGACCCCAGCAAGCACTTCTACTCCTCCAGGGGTGAGCACCCCCTCCTGCACCCCACCCTCCTTCTAGGGGACCCCAGCAAGCACTTCTACTCCTCCAGGGGTGAGCACCCCCTCCTGCACCCCACCCTCCTTCTAGGGGACCCCAGCAAGCACTTCTACTCCTCCAGGGGTGAGCACCCCCTCCTGCACCCCACCCTCCCCCCGGGGACCCCAGCAAGCACTTCCACTCCTCCAGGGGTGAGCACCCCCTCCTGCACCCCACCCTCCTTCTAGGGGACCCCAGCAAGCACTTCTACTCCTCCAGGGGTGAGCACCCCCTCCTGCACCCCACCCTCCTTCTAGGGGACCCCAGCAAGCACTTCTACTCCTCCAGGGGTGAGCACCCCCTCCTGCACCCCACCCTCCTTCTAGGGGACCCCAGCAAGCACTTCTACTCCTCCAGGGGTGAGCACCCCCTCCTGCACCCCACCCTCCCCCCGGGGACCCCAGCAAGCACTTCCACTCCTCCAGGGGTGAGCACCCCCTCCTGCACCCCACCCTCCTTCTAGGGGACCCCAGCAAGCACTTCTACTCCTCCAGGGGTGAGCACCCCCTCCTGCACCCCACCCTCCTTCTAGGGGACCCCAGCAAGCACTTCTACTCCTCCAGGGGTGAGCACCCCCTCCTGCACCCCACCCTCCTTCTAGGGGACCCCAGCAAGCACTTCTACTCCTCCAGGGGTGAGCACCCCCTCCTGCACCCCACCCTCCTTCTAGGGGACCCCAGCAAGCACTTCCACTCCTCCAGGGGTGAGCACCCCCTCCTGCACCCCACCCTCCTCCTGGGCACGTGGGCACACTCATCGCTCTGCGTGCCTGTGCTATGGGTGGCCGACATTCCGGCTGTCCCTGGCGATGGGACCAGAGGTGCCCGCGGTGCCCGGGGTGTCCGTCCCACCCCCGGCCGTCCTCCGAGACCTCACAGGACAGCGTCCTGGGGTTCCTGGGCCCTGACGCAGGGTGTCCGTGCCCAGCTTGTGGATGCTCTGCGTCCGGCGGCCGGCTAACGTGCAGAGGAAGGCCCAGCCGCCCCGTGGTGGCGGCTCACTCACTCCCTCACCGGGAACCAGCCTCTCCATGAACGCTGATCTAGGTTTTGCTTTTTTAAAAATTGTTTAAAATATATTTTTACTGTTTTTTTTTTTAGAGAGAGAGAGAGGGAGGGAGAAGGAGAGAGAAACATCGATGAGAAGAGAGAATCATGGATCGGCTGCCTCCCGCACGCCCCACACTGGGGATCGAGCCCGCAACCCCAGGCCTGTGCCCTTGGCCGGGAATCGAACCCGGGACCCTTCAGTCCGCAGGCCGACGCTCTACCCACTGAGCCACACCGGCCAGGGCATGTTGTGGACTTCTAACTCTTTTAAAAAAATAGTCCTTTGAGCCCTGGTGGCCGGGGTTGTAAGGTGGTTACAGTATCGCCCCAAAGGGTTGCGGGTTCGATTCCTGGTCAAGGGGACGTTCCTGGGTTGCAGGTTCGATCCTGGGCCCCGGTCGGACGGAGTGAATGTGGGAGGCAACCCCTCCAGGCATCTCTCTCACCCCTCTCTCTCGCTCTCTCTCTCTCTCTCCCCCTCTCTCCTCTCTCCCTCTCCCTCTAAAATAAATCAACGGGAAAAAATACCCTCGGGTGAGGATGAACAACAACAAAAAAGGTCCTTTTAAAAAAAGGCGCATTGTCCACCGAGCAAGCTTTAAAGTGACAGTATTGACACCCAAACCTGGTCGTCAGCCCGTCTCCAACCGCTCTGGTAACTGGCCGCAGGGGCTCGGGAAATAAGCCATTGACAGCCGCCCGCCCGGCCGCCAGGACCCATGACAGGCCTGAGAATCGAGGGGTCCGGCCGAGGCTCCCACTCATCCTTCCCCGTGTGCCAGGGGACACTCGGCCCGCTGGCCAACGGGGACTGACAGGTGGAATCGGGCGCCTTTATAGAAGCAGGAAACGGACGAACCCCTCCCTAGCCCTGTAGGGGCACCCCCCCGCCCCAGCACGGAGCCTTCTTACTGGGGAAAACCCTAAATTTATCCCTAAATCCAGGGTGTCTGCGGGGAAGCCCCTCGGGCTGTCAGGCTCCTGGCGGTTTTGTGTCGCCCTAAGGGAACATCATTGCTTCCAAAATAACGCCCTGCCCGGCCTGTCTGGGCGGGCGGAGGGCCAGCCCTGGCGTTGAAGGCGGAGAGAGAAGGATTTTTCCATCTGCCCCGGAAAATAATCGTTAAGATTAAGTAGAGAAAGAAAGAACAACTTGATGAAAGGGCTTCCGTGAAGCGCAGGCTCGCCGCCCGGCATTCCTGGGCCCTAACCCCGATCTTCATGGGAAAAAAACCCCAAATCCCTGTCGGCCTCTCCTTTACGGGGAAATTTCAATACACGAGTCTGCGGTTCGCCGGGCTGGGTTGGCGAGCGAGCGAGTTAATTCCCTTTTAACGCGTTTGCTTCCCCAAAACATAGAACACCTATTTTTTTAAAAAAAATATATTCTATTGATTCTTCACAGAGAGGAAGGGAGAGGGATAGAGAGCCAGAAACATCAATCAGCTGCCTCCTGCACACCCCCCACTGGGGACGTGCCTGCAACCAAGGTACATGCCCTTGGCCGGAATCGAACCCGGGACCCTTCAGTCCGCAGGCCGACGCTCTATCCACTGAGCCAAACCGGTTAGGGCAGAACACCTATTTTTAAAGAAACGTCTCACGTTTCACAGATGGGTTAGGCCGTTTCACGCTTTTTCTTTTCGAGACGAATACCATTTGTGGGTATTTTTAAAAAATATGTTTTTATTGATCTCAGAGAGGAAGGGAGAGGGAGAGAGAGAGATAGAAACATCCATGATGAGAGAGAATCATGGATCGGCTGCCTCCTGCACGCCCCACACGGGGGATCGAGCCTGCAACCCAGGCACTTGCTCCGACCTGGAATTGAACCCGGGACCTCCTGGTTCCTAGGTCGATGCTCAACCACTGAGCCACACCAGCCGGGCAAGAGGGGTCTTATTTATTACTGGTTTCCAGCTGGTATTGTACATACAGGGTGTCCCCCCAAAAGGTATACACGCTTTCACAGCTGTGAGCTCCATTTCGAAAATGAAATGTATCCTATATAGTAAAAGCCTACTATACTAAGTGTCTGGTCGACCGGTCAGCCGTTCAACCAATCAAAATGTAACATGCTAATGATATGCTAAGGCCGCTTGCTATGATGTGCACTGACCACCAGGGGGCAGACAGTCGACCGGTCGACCAGTCGCTATGACGTGCACTGACCACCAGGGGGCAGACACTCTGACTGGTAGGTTAGCTTGCTGCTGGGGTCCGGCCGATCAGGACTGAGAGAGACGGGCCGGACACACCCTGGAGCCCTCCCCGGGTCCCTCCCCAGCTGGCCAACCTCCGCATCCCTCCCTGACCCCGATTGTGCACCGGTGGTGTCCCTCGGCCTGGCCTGCACCCTCTCGCAATCCAGGTTGAGGGCCTCTCCCCCCCCCCAGTGCATGAATTTCGTGCACCAGGCCTCTGGTTTTAATAAACACGGCCTTCATAATTATTCAAAGTGTGTGACCACATTTTGGGAGGACACCATATGGAGAGGACGGTGCCCCGTGCCCTGTGGTCAGCACGGGTGCACAGATCCCCACTCTGTGTCCCCCTTGGTGCGGGGGTCCCATGGCCACCCCTTCTCCTGGGATTCCAGATCCGTCGGCCCCTGCGGCTCCCGCCCACCTCCGGCTTGCCAACGCCACCAGCCACGGCGACGGGAGTGTGACCGTCATGCTGGCCTGGGACGGGCCCCAGGAGCCGGACGTCCCCGTGCACCACTACAAGGTCTTCTGGAGCTGGGCCGCCCGCGGCGTGGGGGTCCCCGCGAGGAAGAGGCGCAGGACGTCTGTGGACGGGGTAAGAGGCCGTGTGCCCTCGGGGCCATGCCAGCTCCCGGCTGCCGCCCGCCGAGCTAATGCAGGGCCCATGTTCCACAGCCCGTTCGTGCTTTTGTGACTCTGGGTCTGTTTCTGGTCATCGGAGGGGAGGCAGGGGAGGGTGG